CCCCCCCCTCCCCTCCCACGCCCCCATCTTTTGTATACATAAATAAGAGATGAATGACTGGATGTCATGAACCGACCGGTTAATCTTGGAAAGAGTCAGACAGAGCTCAGAGTCGGAGGATGGATTTGAAACCGGTGAGTCAAATGCGGGACATCTGCCTCTGCTACCTCCATCACTGTTTCCCTTTGCTTCTGCTTTCACCTCCAGACTACTGCTTTTTTTCACATCTGTATGAATGAAATGACATGGTTTGCCTGCGTCTCCCCAGGTTCTCATCTTCGTACTGTTCATCGTGCCCATGTGGTCGTCCAAGATGTTCCGGTGCTATAACGACCAGGAGCTACAGGCAGCGGCGGACAGGAAGCTGAGGACGCACTACCTGCGGCCCACAGAGGCTCCGCGGACAACGGCTCGCAGCTCATCTTACTCTTGTCCCCTGGAACTTTACAAGACGCCGCTGTCAGATGAGCAGCGAGACAGGTCACTGTCCCCCTGGAGATTCGTGTAAGCAGCAGCCTGAGCACATTTTAAATCCCGATGTTATTCAGTATTTAACATGCAGCATATGAATCAAATGACGTTTTAAAGGATATAAGAGTCTTCATAACCCCGCACAAACAGCGGGTGAGAGAAGTTCCCGAAAGATAACAAAGTGTCAAGAGATTTTACAAAAAATCCATCTTTACATTTTGTTTGGGGTCTTTGTCACGTTAGACTTGAGTCAAACCTTTACACAGAGTGAGGCGCAAACTAGAAGCTCGATTTTCATTTATATGACGTAGTAAAATCCTTAACAACAGCTAATTACAAACCGGTCTACTGCGCACAAATATAAATGAACAGCAGTTAGAAACTAGAACTTCTTGTTTTGAATGTTGAAAGAGACATAACAGCTAAACAGATAAGAGAATAAATAACTCAGGGATCGCAGGGCTACACGGTAAAATAAAGCCGTAATCAGCGCACAGTTGAGCTTATTTGCGTGCCTTGAGTGATAATTGGCGCTGGTCCTTCCAGCGCAAGTGACGCAATCATTGGATGAACCAGGGATTTTCCCCGATTCATCCAATGCTTCCGTCACCTACTGTGACTGAAGCTCTCTTGGTACATAGCTGCCGGGAATGACTGCATCCTGTGTCTCTTTATTAACCATAACTGGAGAGAACAGAAAACAGATAGATAAATGAGATTTACGAGTTGTCTCTTCAGGTAACGATAAAAAAAAAGTCACTTCAAAAGAACAAAATAGTATAATTCTGACTCAAATGACGCTAAAACCTTCAAGCCAAACGCTGCCATCTTGTGGTGAATGGTTTGATTAAATTTTGTTGACATCTTGATGTTTGTTTGTTTTGTTTTAAGAAAAGAAAAGAAAGAAAATAGCACATGATGAATGTGCCCTGTTCTTAGGATTGCTTTCCTAACATTTTGGACGGGGCTTCTGTATTTACTAAGACCATCTGCTGTTACTGACATATAGAACCACACGCTCCACATGTCTGAATAAACTGTAGCTCACCGAGTCCTCTTTTGTTTTTAACAGAACTCACATCAAGGAAGATCACTTTCCTTCGACATATGTTGGTGCTCAGTGCCTGTGTTCAGGATGCATCCAGCTTAAAGACAATAAAATGATTGAGGACTATGACTACAACTCAGTTCCCATCGTTCAGAACAGAGTGTTTCTCAAAAAGGAGCTTTGTGACGATAAGAAGACTTACCGTCTGAGGCCAGTGAATGTGGAAGTAGCTGTGGGGTGTACCTGTGTCAGACCCCAGAGCTCCTAGGGGAGAACCATCCAGACCTGCTATCACATGACACGCATAAAATGCATGAAGTTCATGAAATGCACCAAGTCTAATCAGCGGTGTGAAGTCCTGCAGCATGCTCATAGTGAGCAGGCTGTGACTTAGAAGGAACATCGCTGGGAATATTTAATGCGGCTTCAAAAGTCACACAAACCTATTTATACACTTAGCTATTTACTGTTTATTTATCAATAATATGTTTTGTAGATGTTTGTTCTCTTAGGTTTGTTTACAGACTCCTGCATAGTGCAGTAAATGTAATCTGGTTATTTTATTACTTGATTTAATTCATATTGATGACCTTCTAATTGAAAAAAACTATTATATAGTTTTGTTACATAACAATTGAACTGTTAATGGTATTTGAAGAATGATCTATTTATTTGGTCTGCTACTCTACTTTGTATTTATTTATGCTCAAGGTTTTGTCCTAGTGGGACTATATAAGTCTAGTGAAGACTTCAAGTTTAGCTTCTTTGAAGCAAAATAAAGAAAATGTCTGCATTTCAAAAAAAAAA